AGTGCGGCGCTCCCTCAGCACTGACCCTCCGACAGTGCGGCGCTCCCGCAGCACTGACCCTCCGACAGTGCGGCGCTCCCGCAGCACTGACCCTCCGACAGTGCGGCGCTCCCTCAGTTAGTGGCTCAGAGGTGAGAGTGTTTCTCACTGAACTACAGCTGAATATATAAGCAGTAAATACCAAATGATATAAATGTTGTGGGAGAGGAAGGAAAATTCATTTTTTCAGACTAACAGAAGCTGAATAAAACCTCTCTGCGGTTGCATCTGTCACAGTAAGTTGATGGGGCTGTGTACTCTGTCTGTGCCCCTCAGTTTTATACATCTCAGTCATGTCCTCTCTCAATCTGCTCTGCTTTAAGGCAAACAACCCCAGTCTGTCTTCATAACTGAAACTCTCCAGTCGAGGCAACATCCTAGTAAATTTCCCTCTGCATCCTCTCCTATAATATCACATCCCTCCTATAATGTGGATTCCAGAACTGCACACAGTACTCCAGCTGTGACCTAACCAACATTTTATACAGTTCCAGTCTAACCTCCCTGCTCTTAAATTCTATACCTTAGCTAATAAATGACATTCCGTTGGCTTTTAGTCAGTTATATTTTTTCATAGAATCCCTACAGTGTGGAAACAGGCTCTTCGGCCCAACTTAGTCCACACCAACTCTCAGAGCATCCCACCTAATCTACACCTCCCTGAACACTACGGGCAATTTCCCATGGCCAATCCACCCTAACCTGCACATCTTTGGACTGTGGGAGGAAACCGGAGCACCCGGAGGAAACCCACGCAGACACTGGGAGAATGTGCAAACTCCACACAGACAGTCGCCCGAGAGTGGAATCGAACCCGGGTCCCTGGCGCTGTGAGGCAGCAGTGCTAACCACTGAGCCACCGTGCCACCCAATATTTTCTTGTTCATCCACCTTCGATCTTGCTGAAGAGAGAGATCTGTTGCCGGAACTCAGGGACTCCACACATCAGGATAAAATGCAAGAATGCCAAACTTCAAATGGTCACAACAATGTGTATTCCAGGTCTTTCCCTTCAGTAGTGTTCTTGCAATATCTGTGCACCGAAAACTCCCTCCAAGAGGCCTATGGTTCTGTCTAACCCATGAAATAACGGAAGTGTCCTGTTTGTTTGATTTCAGGCTCCCCAGTGCATTTGTGGGTAACTCGGACAAACCAGCTCCCCCCACTGGGGCTTCCCCGTCCACTGCCACCATCCCGGTCGTTCCATCGTTAGCGGGTCCGTGTAACCCCACACCATCCTCGGTGGGCTTTGCTGAGGTTAGCCCCCCATCCAGCGGGACGAGAAAAGCACGCGTACTCTACGACTACGATGCAGCCGACTCCAGTGAGCTTGACCTCCTGGCCGATGAGGTTAGTGCGTTACAAATGGATTTGTCATTCCCCCTGTGTAAATTACCCCCTTATATTCCCTGTTCTCAAGCTGTGTGACCCGCGGTTTTATAGAGAAGCTAAAATTTCAGCTTTATATTGTGGCTTAGATGCAGAGTAGCTGTAATCTCTTTGAAGACCTGAAGAAGCTTAAAGAGCTGAATGTCTTCCTTTCTGCTTTTTAATAACCATGTCTTCTGGTGTCTTTGTATTAATGAATCCTCATAGAGTCATCCAGCACGGAAACAGACCCTTCGGTCCAACCAGTCCATGCCGACCATAACCCAAACTAAACTTGTCCCACCTGCCTGCTCCTGGCTCATATCCCTCCTAACCTTTCCTATTCATGTACTTATCCAAATGTCTTTTAAATGTGATAAATGCACCTGCTTCCACCACTTTCTACTTATTATCTTCTCAGCTAAGGAGATATCTCATTTTTTGATGCTTCCCAAATAGTTTTGGTCCTTGTCTAGTTTGATCTTTTGTCTCTCAAAGGTATCTGATTCAGACAGAGCAGATTCAGCCCCATCCCCATTCAGATATTACTAGTTGTCTGAGTTTTGAGCCTTGGGAATTGGTGGTAATATATAACCAGTGCTAGAAGACTGACATCCTGTTTTCACATCATACCTCAGCTTTAGTTCCATTTTACGCACTTGTACAATTGTGATCTATCCATGTCTCTCTGGCAAGTTAAAATCAAAAGTTTTGAAACTGAAACATTTTTTCAGCTTAAACAGTGTTAAGGGCCCCCCTTCTGTGACAGTGTTGTGGGTCACCCTGCAACACACAGACTGCAGCAGTTCAAGAAGGCAACTCACCACCACCTTCTCAAGGAGCAACATTCAGCCAGTGATGCCCACATCCATGATAGAATAGGCCAAGTCACCACAATCCTTCTAGGAGCATTGGGCCTCTCTCTCACCAGAGAGAGGCAACTGGTGGTGGTTTAACCTGATGGTCACCATGTCTCAGGCCAGGGGAGAGAGGTTGAGAAGGAGAGTCCTTCATGGTAACCTCAGCTGGTGTAGGAAATGAACCCACGCTGTTGGCGTCATTCTGTATCGCAAGCCAACTGTCCAGCCAACTGAGCTAACCGACTCCCTAATAAAGCAAATTTTAAAAAAAAGGATGGAGGAGATATTTGGGTCAAGGTTCAAGTCAGAATAAATTTTGCCCTTATTTATGTTTATTTGTAAATCGTCCTGTGCACATTTCCAATGGAGAAAGCCTATGTAAACATGTCATGCTACAGTGCCATCTCTGGCAGGAGGGTGCACTACACCCTCCACTATGAGAAGTTAGAAAGTTAACAGGAGGTGTAAGATGTTTATGAATAGATCAACCTAACCATGTTTTTATTTTCCCTTCTTCAAATCTGTGTAGCTCATCACGGTGTACAGTCTACCAGGAATGGATTCTGATTGGCTGATGGGTGAAAAGGGGTCTAAGGAAGGAAAGGTTCCAGTCACTTATCTGGAACTACTGAACTAAAGATCCCATCAGGACCTTCCATTGAAAGATTGACCCTTGCAAAAAGACCACATTAGCATTTACCAATTGTGTTCCGTTAATTCCTAACATCATGTCCAACGTTTTTTTTTGGTGACTTTGATTGCACCAGAAAGCTTTAAAGAAAATTGCAAAGGTTTACAACATTACTTTTATATAGTTTCTTTTCCAGGAATTTAAAAGCATCACTGATCATGTATTTGAACAATTAGGTTGTGATGAAACCCTTTGAACGACGTGCTTAGCAAAACCTGATATAATTTAAAACCGAACAAGCAAATTCCCTGGGGACTGGCTCCGAGGGTGCTTCAGAAATATGCTTAGTTAGACCGGCTTTTTGTAGTTTGTACACTGGGACACTCTCTTTCAGACAGCCCACAGGAATGATGTAATTGTAATAGGTAACAGAATGTAACGCCTCAGTTCATCCATACAGTCTCCAGTTTGGTTCGAAATATGGAGCCATAGAGTGTCCTGGTAAAGGTCAATTTGCAGCTCTTGTAGTGTAACTGGAGCCAATATTGTGAGTCTACTCTGCATGGGCACATATATGTCTTTCTGTCTGGTAAGGTGGAATTTTAACTCCTGCAGGTGGAACTCTTCACTGAGACACCAAGGATTTGTTTTGAATTTTTATGGGTGCGCATTGCCGTACGTAGGTCACAGTGGAACAGCGTTCCCGTTTGTGGGTCATCAGGAAGGAGAAACTTGGATTTTCCAAAATCGAGGAAGGCAGGTAGTGATTGCTCCTGTGCACACTTCCCTTCCATTGGCCAACCCTGCCATCCTGAGCTGATGAAACTGTCTCAGGCACTCGCCTCTTGCTTACGAGAAATTTCAGGGGTTAGTTGTATTTTCTTAAAAAAAAAGACTCACCAAATCCAGAGTAGGATAAAAGTTCACTTTATTCTTCAATTCCCTTTTGTAAGTTCATTTTTTTTTGAGCTAATTGTTTGACATTCGAGGTGGTTTGCTTTGTGCAAGTTTATAGATTTGAACACTTTTAGGAAGGAAACTGGATATTGATCAAGAGTCCTCATCTCCTGCTCGTTCAGTAAACTGTTTGCATTCCCCATGTAAACTTATTGTGCTTGCAAGGTACTGGTTGTGTGTTCATTCCTTGGTCTGTATTGTCTGCATCGACCTGTATGAACTCCTTCAATCTGAGTGTATTTGCTGCCTGTTTCAGCTGTTCTATGCATAGTGAATGACCTTTAAAGAATAATAAAGCATTGAATTCACACTGATTTTCGCTCTCAACCATGTTGGTTCCATCACATTGCACGTGGCAGCTTTTCAGACTGTCACAGGTCAGTCGTATTACACTGGGTGATATCATTTCAATGGAAACCACAGAAAAAACAGGTCCTTCGGCCCGTCGAGTCTGTCGCAGTCAAAAACAACCACCTAACTGTTCTAATCCTATTTCCCAGGACTTAGCAGCATGAGTACACATCTAAACACCACTTCAATGTGATGAGGATTTCTGCCACTCAGGCACCTTTACAGCAGTGAGTTCCAGATTCCCACCATCCTCTGGGTGAAAACATTTTACCTCACATCTCCAAACCTCCTGCCCCTTCCCTTCGGTCTTTGATCCCTCTACCAAGGAGCAAAATTTCTTCCTGTCTGTATCCCTCATCATTTTATTATCTCGGTCATATTCCCCCCACCCCCTCAGTCTCCTTTTCCTCTAAGGTAAACAACCCCAGTCTGTCCAATCTCCCTTTATAACTGAAACTCTCTAGCCCAGGCCACATGCTGGTTAATGCCCTCAGCGATCAGCTCCCTCTTAACATATGCATTCCGGAACTGGCCACCTCACCATTGGAAATGTCTGTTCAGGCCATCAGTTAGAATCATCAAATCCCTCTCGTAGTGTGGGAGCAGGACATTCGGCCCCTCAAGTCCACACTGACCCTCCGAAGATTGTCCCACCCAGACCCATCCCCTACCCTAGGCACGATGGAGCAATTTCCCACAGCCAATCCACCCTAACCTGCGCATTTTTGGACTGTGGGAGGAAACCAGAGCACCCAGAGGAAACCCACGCAGACACTGGGAGAATATGCAAACTCCACACAGACTGTCACCCGAGGGTGGAATCGAACCCAGGTCCCTTTCGCTGTGAGGCAGCAGTGCTAACCACTGAGCTGCCCTTCATACACTTCATACAGATAGTAACAATACTTGATTATGCCCCCCTCATTTATTAAGATCATGTCTGATCCGATGGAGCATTACCTCCACTTTCTTGCCTCTTCCCCCTTAACCCTGACTTCCCCGGTCAATGAAATAAATCTGTCAGACTCAGCCACCAATATATTCAGTGGCTTCACTTTCAGTGATGACCGTCCCAAACACTGAAGACCCACCAAGTGAGGGATGACCAGGAAGCCCAGAACCAGAGGTCACAGCCCACGGATACGGGCTTGGCCATTCAGGATGGTGATGAGGAGAAATATCTTCACCCAGACAGTGATGAGCCTGTGAGGCCAAAACATTGTTTTTTCAAGGAGGAGGTAGATGTGGCTCTTGTGGTTAAAGAAGGTACAGGGAGGAAGGTGGGCTTGGGATATTGCACATGATGATTATCGAATGGAGGAGCAGATTCAAAGGGCTGAATGGCCTACTTCGATTCTGTGATTTCACAGACCTCCGGTAAGTGATGAGATACTTGGGGTGGGGTTTGGCACATGCTTGGGGATTGGAGGGTGGGTGGGGTGGTGTGGGGTGGCAGTGTGAAGGTGTTTTGAAAGCAAGGGCAGAGGGTGGGGGGTTGGATTCAGTGGGCACCCAGCTATGGCACACCCCCAACCCTGATCGGGCACTTTGGTCAAAGGACCCCTCTCCCCCCAAGATGATGGATTGTCTGTGGAGTAACAGCTAATGGACATGCCATGTGACAACATCCAACCCTCCCCAAAACGCGCGCACACACACAACTGGGTCAATCCCCGAGGTGGGAGTGAGGGATGCCACTCTCTCCCAGTCCTTAATAAATCTGTGAAGATCTTCGATGGTGTTGACCATGGTCAGCCATAGGCCTCTCGGGCCACATATCCATTCCAATGGGGTTTAGAAGGCAGTGGGGACAGTGTTTGGGTACAACACCAGACAGGCTAATGAGGTGTCCTTTCTACCTCACCACCTCCAGAGCACAATTCCATCCATTGAGTCTCCAGGTTAACTCCTGAGGAGTAATTCCTCAGCCTGAGGCACTGGGCCCACAGCTATGACAGGTAAGTGTGAGAAGCCATATGCTGGTGTTGACTGGCTCAGTTGGTCGCATTTTACACTCTAAGCCAAAGATCCTGGGTTCATGACCTCCTGCAGCGCCTAGTCCACCACTGCAGTAGACCTCACACAGACTGAATTCTCCCTCACACTTTTGACTCATTCATATCTGGCACTAGTCAGACCACAACTGGAATACTGTGAACAGTTTTGGACCCTGTATCTAAGGAAAGATATTGGAGGCAGTCCAGAGAAGGTTCACTGGGCTGATCCCAGGTATGGAGGGACTGTCTTATGAGGAGAGGTTGAGTTTGGTTGGGGCTACACTCGGAGTTTAGAACAACTAGAAGCAACCTCATCGAAATACGCAAGATTATTAGGTGATTTGAGAGGGTAGATGCAAAAAGGCAGAGTTTAGGATTATCAGCCATGATCTCATTGAACAGCAGAGCAGACATGATGGGCTGAATGGCCTGCTTCTCATCCTATGTCAAATGATATTAGGTTTGTGATCCAGAATAGTGTTAAACATTACCATGGAAACAGACACTAATGTGGAGCTAAAGCCCCAATCAGATCTGTCCATCATCCTATTGCATAGCCTTGCTGTATGATCTTATAGAACTAAGAGACTCACAGATGATCAACATCTAGGGCAGACTGTGATGGTTATAAAGATTCCAAAGGTTAATTTGTCCAAATCTTCCTTGTTGTAAAGACTGAAAGTGAGAAAACGTGGGTATAATTCACACAGTCAGAACGAGATGTACTTCCCAACAATTTTCATTGCCTTGACAGCTGTCACTATCTAATTTCTCCAATTTTTACTGTGATTTTTTTTTACACTTTTTTTATCCACTCACAGGATATGAGGTGTCACTGGCTAGGCCTGCATTTCTCACTCATCCCTAAATGTCCTTGAACTGAGTGATTTGGTTAGCCATTTGGAGTGGGCCTGGAGTCAGATGTAGGCCACACCAGTTCCCTTCCCTAAAAAAGGTTAGTGAACCAGATGGAGTTTCATTTAGTTTCATAATTAACTGCCAATTCCAGATTTTAAATTAAAACGTCCCCAGCAAATAGCCTGGGCCTCCGCATTATTAACCCAGAGTTGTTGCCATGGTAACGTGGCCTCTCAACAGTTCAATAATCCTTCTCTGTCATTTCTTCAGGATCATCCTCTCGTTGACGGAGTTACACCGATTCCAAAATCACAATTTGTGCTCTGATTTCTACACTTTTATTCTCTAAAGATTCCACTGCCTTTCATTCCAATGACACAGTTCCTGCCTGACACCAACAGCATGGGGAATAAAAGTGTGTCAAAACTCAGCATTCTTGGGCAGGTTCCTGTTTGTTCAGTTCCTTTTGGCCACTGCCTGCCTCAGTTAAGGCTGGATACGTTTTTAAAAACTGTTGCCCAACCCTCCTGCTCCAAGATATGGAGGGGCTGGTGTTGGACTGGGATAGAGAAAGTCAGACATCACGTGACACCACATTATAGTCTGACAGGTTTATTTACAGCACGGTGGCTCAGCGGTTAGCATTGCAGTCTCACAGCACCAGGGATCCGGGTTCAATTCTACCCTCGGGCAACTGTCTGTGTGGAGTTTGCACATTCTCCCCGTGTCTGCGTGGGTTTCCTCCGGGTGCTCCAGTTTCCTCCCACAGTCCAAAGATGTGCAGGTTAGGGTGGATTGGCCGTGCTAAATTGCCTGGGGTATGTGGGTTAGGTGGGTTATAGGGGGATGGATCTGGACGGGATGCTCTGAGGGTCGGTGTGGCCTTGTTGGGCTGAAGGGCCTGTTTCCACACTGTAGGGGTTCTATGAAAATCACAAGCTTTTGGAGCATAGCCTCTTTGTCGGGTGCACTTTGCTCCACTTCACCTGACAAAGGGGCAGCGCTTCAAAAGCCTGTGATTATAAATAAACCTATTGGACTATAACCGGTGTCGTGTGACATCTGACCTTCTCCAGCTCCAAAGCAGCAGAATCGTCAACACCCAGAGCTACAGATGATTCCAATGAAGATCCACAGCCTTCTGTTTCCAGAGAATCGATATTGTACGGGGTAATAAGCATGAGAAAACATTCTTCTTCCCATATTTTCATGCTTGTTTTTGCTGTTTTATACTTTATTTGACATCTGTCAGTGTAACCTGAACATTTAAATGGGATTTTATGGAAATATTTTGAGTAACATTGCTGCACTTTAAGAGTGATTTTCAGGAATGTAACTACTGTGTTATACAGTCCTAGAGATGTACAGCATGGAAACAGACCCTTCAGTCCAACTGTCCATGCCGCTTAGTATCCTAAATAAATTCAGTCCCATTTGCCTGTATCTCTCTAAACCCCTCCTGTGCATATATCCATCCAGATGCCTTTTAAATGTTGTAATTGTACCAGCCTCTACCACTTCCTCTGAAAGCTCATTCCACACACGCACCACCCTCTGAGTGAAAAAGTTGCCCCATAGGTCCCTTTTAAATCTTTCCCCTCTCACCTTAAACGTATGCCCCTCTAGTTCTGCACTCCCCTACCCTGGGGAAAAAGACCTTGGCTATTCACCCTACCCATGCCCCTCATGATTTTATAATCAAAGACTATCTCTATATCAAGTTTTCTCTAGAATTTAGGAGGCTAAGGGGTGATCTGATCGAAGTCTTCAAGATATTAACAGGAAAAGACAGTAGATTAAAGATAAATTATTTCCACTGGTTGGGGATTCTAGAACTAGGGACATAGTCTGAGAATTAGGGCCAGACCATTCAGGAGAGATGTTACGAAGCATTTCCACACACAAAGGGCGGCAGAGGTTTGGGTCCGTCTTCCACAAATGGCAGTGGATGTAGGATCAGTTGTTAATTTTAAATCTGAGATAGATAAATTTTTATTATGCAAAGGTTTTAAGGAATCTGGGCCAAAGGCAGGTATGTGGAGTTAGATCACAGATCAGCCATGTTCTTACTGAATGGTTGAACAGGCCCAAGGGATTGAATGGCCTCC